AGTTCTTGGGATTGCCAGGTTATATGGTAACTGTAGACTGTTTTCCATAATGCACTGCCCCATTTTACGTTCCCACAAGCAATGTGTGACAGTTTAATTTCTCCACATCTTCATCAACACTGTTGTTTTTTGTTTTTTGATTCCAGCCATCCTAGTGGGTGTGAAGTAATATCTCATTGTGGTTTTGATTTACAACTCCCTGAGGATAAGTAATGGCCAGCATCCTCTGTCCTGCTTGTTAGGGGCCCTACTTACCGGGGCTCTGCCCCTGGCCACAGCCTCCCCAGGCACTGGGGTCATGTCTGTCTTTTACATGGCTCTTCCCTCATTTCTTCCAGTGCTCTGATGAGCATTGGCTCCGAGGGGGCAGGGGGCCTGCCACGTTCAGGGACATGTGCCCTCTTTCTTCCAGTGGTTCTCAGCTGACCTCTGACATGACAGGTCACTTGTGCGTCTGTAGCCCACGTGCTGACCTCTCCTGGGCTCTCTGCCATGGGCCTTCTGAATGCATCTTTGCCTCTTTCCCCCTCCCACCTTCCAGCCAGGCCCTTAGGACTCCATCAGGCTCAAGCCTTGTGCCTACAGCTTGAAGCAGTCTGCCCCTCAGCTTCCTGGAGGGCCCCTGGTGGAGAGGGAGCCTCCCTCCTCTGCTCCCTGGAGAAAGTGCAACATGTCCTTATCCCAGGAATCCCTTGTCCTCGGCCCCTTGGGGACTCAGAGTCCCTGCCGCCCCGGTTGCAGCCTCTGACACCCCACCTGCTGGGACCCCTCACCTTCCTTGCTCACCCCCACAACCTTTATTGTTAGAAAGGTCTTTCCATGCCCACCACGACTCCCTCCTGATCCTCCTCTGAGCTTGGGTCGAGCTAGGTCTCTGCCCCCATCTCTGTCTTGTCTACTCCCGCTCCACCCCTCCCACTTTCACCCCACTACTTGGCTAGCCACTGGTCTTGGCTTGCATTGCACTGGGGTTGGGTTGGGCATGGGCTCCCTCTGAAGGCAGACCTAGAGGGTCAGTGTCCCCTCACCCCGGGGGCCTCCTGTTCTCTTCTGAGATCCTGGACTGAAGGAGATTTGGGTCCACACCTTGGGCACTCACAGAACCCTTCCTGCAAGTGCAGTCCCAGTGGGAGCCAGTGGGGATGGGGTGGGGGTCATGGGGAGGATGGGGGGATGCCCACTGAGGCTAACTGGCCAGCCCCGCGGCCAGGCCCTTCTCCAGCCTTCAGAGCCAGCTTCCCAGTGGTCCTTGAGGCTGTGGTTTATCCCCTCACCTTCCAGACAGGAGGTCCTGGGGTGGAGGCTCTTCTCTCTGAAGTTTGAAGCCCAAGGGTCCCCTGGGGCCTCCTTCACTCCCACTGGGACCCCAGGCTCTTGGAGCTGCCCCTTCCTTTTTCTGGACGCCTGGGCAGGAAGTTGAATCTGTGGAGGGAGAATGCGTCACCTCATGCTCCCAGAATTGGGGTCAGACTGATCTAAGGAAGTCTCTTCGTTTATTTTCTTAATATTTTATTATGAGGATTTTCCAACAATGCTATTTTTTTTGAAGTTTGTAGGCAATTATTTTTCTCAAAAAACAATACAGCTGATGGACAGTGACTGCAATGGGGTGAGGGGACTTGGTAATATGGGTGAGTGTAGTAACCACAATGCTGCTCATGTGAAGTCCTCCTAGGATTGTATATCAGTGATACCTTAATAATAAAAAAAGATGCTAACAACCAATTCTGGGAGCATGATCTCCCTGAGCAAGAGGCAGCCCGGGAGGAGTGGCAGGATGAGCCTGCTGGGTCTTCCTGCTGCCTTGAATGTGCCAGCTTAGAGTGGGCCAGGGGCTCACGGGGCTTTGAAACTATTTTCATGGGTATGTATGTTCTGTATATGCATTGGTGTGTGGGTATGTATCAAGTATTACACAATACTTTAAAAACTGGAAGGAAATTCCTGGAAATGAAAAAATGTTTTAGCAATAGTGATCTCTAGGAGATAGTATTTATAGGTGAATTTTCTTTTTTCTTTTGGGTCCCAGGGGCTGGGTGCTGGAGAGAATGTGAAGAGAATGGGTTATGAGAGGTCTCCTTTTTGGGGGATGGAAAGTAGTCCTGAACCTAGATAGAGGTGATGGTGCATAACAATGCGAAGGCACTTATAAGTGCCATGGGACTGTACACTTTAAAGTGGTTAAAACGGTAAATTTTATTGTTAGGTATTTTACCACAATAAAAAAATGCTCTGAATATCCTTGTGAATCACGTAATATCAATGATGATTATTCTTTTAGCATGTATTACGTAGAGTAAATTTAGTAGGTCAAAGGGTATGATGAACTTTCTCAAGGTCCGTTATACTTACTGACAAACTCCTCCAGCAAGTTTACCGTGCTACACCCTGGGGCAAGATTCAGACTGAGAGGCAGCCAGGACAAAGGATGCTTAGTGCCAGTGGGGTCTTGGGACCTGTGGAGACTGGGCCTACAGATGCTACCGGTGCTGGGGCCCCGGGGGAGTGAGTCCTCACTCAGTGTGTAATGGAAACCAGGCTGTTCGCAAGCAGCGTGAGGGCCGCCTGGGCCACAATTGGGCAAATGGGCACCTTTAAGGCTTGCTTCCTTTTCCCCCAGCAGGGTGAGGGCACCTTTCTGCAGAGCCCTTGGTGGAAGTGTAGTGGCTTCCAGCCCAGCTGGGATTGGGTGGGAGCTGTGGTCCACAGGTCAATGCACTCGGGCCCATCCAGCAGCAGGCCACGGGCCTGTGTGTGAGACCTTGACTAGAGAGCATGAAGTCTCCGGCCAGTGGCCCTCTAGGGCTTGTTTGCCAGCAAATGCACAATGAAACCAATAGGTTTGCTACCAAAAGGTAATTTCTAGCTAAGGCACAAAGAAAAATGCCCAGCACATGGCAAGGCCAGCACAGCCCACCCCAGAGTGCTAGCGGTGACAGCCACTGGGAACTGGGGTGTGGTGGGAGGTGGGACATTCAGGTGGCCTTTCAAGTATGTGAAGTGTTGGAAGATGAGGTGCACTTCTTCTGGAATGTGCCAAAGGAGGGGGGTTTGCACTTGATGAAGGCAAAGTCAGAAAGAATTCACAGTTAGGATCACGTGCTACTGGGTAAACAAGGGCTGTCAGCTTCGCCTGGGGCCCTTCCAGTTCACTGAGAGCAGTACTCACTGGCTGAGCCCATCACACAACTGTGGATTCTTTCTGAATATAAGAAATAACCAGGCCCTTGCCCTTGGGCACCCTGGCCTCGTTGGCCTTCTCATGCCCATCCTGAGTCTTTGACCTCCATGGGGCCCTCTGGTCAGAAAGTGAGGTGTGGTGTGAGTGTATTTGGTGAGTTATACACTTAGCCTCCTTGATAGCCTGGTGAAAGTCAAGTCACATGACTGTCACACTGCCCACACGTGGAGTCCCCCGGGGTCCAGTCTGTGCCCTGTGTTCAGCACACTGCTTTCTGCCTGGGTGTTTGCTGGAGCTGTCACGGCTCCCGATGGTGGCCGAGGGTTGGGCAGGGCCTTGGCATGGGTCTGCTTGCTAGCGAATGTGGCTCTTAGGCCAGGGGTGGATGCCCCTGGGCACCTGGCCTTGAGGAGCCACAGGCACACAGTTTACCCATAGCCCACTCACACCCATACCCAGACAGCGACACGCACACCATCCACAAAGGCCACTCTGTCACCCGTCCCAGGCTGCACCCCTCGTCACACTCCGATCCCTACCCCCGATGGTTGCATCTGGTGGACACCCACCCCCCCAAGCCCCCAGCCTGTGCTGTCCCTCACTGGGCCAGAGAGGCTGTGGCTCCTCAGGGCTGCCTCCAGCTCTTCTGCTGAGGAGCCTGAGCCCTGGAAGGTGGGCACCTGACTGGTAGTCATGTCCCAGCTCCTCCACTCACTGGCTGACGGGCCCTGGGTGAATTCCTTAAATTCCCTGTGCCTCAGTTTCTTCATCTGTGAAATGGAGACATACTTAGTGCCTATTGCACAGGGCTGTGCAGAGGACTCAGAAGTAAACTGATAAAGCACTTGGAACAGAGCCTGGCAGAGTCGGCCATTAGTAAACCGTAGCTTGTACTGGTTTGTGGCTATTAGTAATAGTGGCAATGTCATCCGGTAGTATATCCAGTCACTCAGTCTGGAAACCTCCATGCCCCCAAGTCTCACCCATTGCCCCTGGCTGTTCTATGTTGAAATGTTTTGAACTATTTCCTGCTTACAGAAGAGCATAGGCCATCATTTTAGCATTGCCCATGTACTGCTATCCAACCTTAATCTGGGCCTTGTCGGCCTCTGCACTTTTCCTTACACAGGTATTACAAGGCAGACGGGAAACTGCCTGCACACACCCCTCCCTGGCCCCATTCTTCTCTTTTCCTCTCTGGTTTGTTACTGTGATGTGTTTCCTACTATTGATGCTATTAATAAGTGTGTATGTATTTCCATAAAGCAGATGTGTGAACGTGGCACGATTTTTGAATGCATTCTACTACCTATGCTGGATCCTCGGGCTGTTTCTAGCGTTGGCTCTTAGGACGACACTGCTCATGTCCCAGCGTCCTGAAGGGGCATCTTCTCGAGTGCTTCTGTGTCGTGTCAGGCTCCCTTTCCGTGAAGGCCTGTTTTCCTATTGAGTTGTTTGTATTTTCTTGGTGTTTTGTAGGAATTCTTTATACCTTCTGAATAATCCTTTGTCAGTTTCACGCATTGCAAGGATCTTTTCTTAGCTGTTTTATCTTTTCACTGTGTTTATGGTATCTTTTGTTGTCTAGAAGTTTTACATTGTAACATAGTCAAATTCGTGTCTTTTCCATTCTTGCTTGCCCATGTCTTATCTTAAGAATTGCTCCTCTATTCCAGCATCCTAGAGACATTGTGCTCTCGCCTGCAGGGTATGCAGTTTGACTTTGCCCACCTAGGACTTTGATGCATTTGGAATTGCTTGGTGGGGGCTTGGAGCAGTGGCAGCAGGGTTGGCGGTGGGGCAGGGGTCCTGGGTGTCTTGGTGGGGAGAGCCTGCAGTGGGTGCAGGCAGGAGCCTCTGAGGGCAAGCTGGCCTGGGCTTGCAAGTGTTGAGGCTGGAGCGGAGGTGCTAAGCAGGCAGTCTGATGGTCAGATACTGTAATGGTGGCTTTGCCGGTGCATGTGTGTCTTGCTTTTTCCTCATCACTGCTTTGCTCATTGCCTCCAATTACCCCACCTTGCTGGTAGCCCCCACCGACCCTCATTAGCTTGAGGGGCCCACCGTGACTGAGGAAGAGGAGAGAGAGGAGGCCAAAGGAGCCCGCGGTGCCCACCTGCAGGAGTTGACTGGATACACTGCACACCTGGGCTGCTGGGGGCCCCAGGCGTCGTGGGGATGGCCCCCGTCTGAGGTGCTGAGGCTGCGTGTGCGCCCACCGCCCGCCTGCCACCCCAGGCCGCCCTGACTCCCCTCCCACTGCCTGGCTGCAGTTGCCATAGCAGCGCTGCTGCTGCTGCTGCTGTGTGGCCATTCCAGGGAGAAAGACATTCCCTGTGTTTTCTCAGTGTCACCTGAGTGTCCTACTGCACACTTGTGGCCCTGCCCCAGGAGTTTCAAGAAATGCCTCCCCCTTAGAGATCCTGAAGGAACAGCTTAGCCCTTGGGCTTCTTAAGGAAGCCTTTTTCTTAAGGGCCGTGGGGAGCTGGTAACTGTTCCAAAACAACAGGGAAGTTTGGGGAGGGAGGAGACGGAAACACTGGAATGATCATTGACAAGGACATAATCAAGTAGCTGAAAGGTAGTTCTGTGGGTTCCATGGCTCTCTGTGCTTTGCTAAGATGGCCAGCTTCCTGGAACGACGTCTAGAGGCTCGTCTGTTACATGGTGGCCAGGGAGACACGGTTTTGCAGTCGGACTGCACATCTCTGTGAAGAACCCTTTCCCCCAGGACAAATGGCCAGGGAGGTGGCACTGCGGGGAATGCCGTCGGGCAGGTGCTCCACTCTACCTATGCTGACTGTTGGGTGTTGGCTTCTGCCTGCAGAGCGGCCGCCCTCATCTCTTTCTCGCCCCCTCTCCCTTCCCTGATGCAGACCCAGGTGGCATCTGCTCAGGGAGCCTTCCTTTACCCCCTTCCTAAGTGGGGTGTGGCCGGCCCTGTGCTTCCTTACCAGCCCTCTGGAAGGTCTCATTCATCACTTGCCCACTGCGTATAGCCATCTGGGGTGTCACTGCTGGTATTTGGCCTCTCAGGCCCAGAATAAACCTTCCACAAGCTGCTGAGGGAATGAGAAGACTCTGCTCTCCTGCCCTGCTGCAGGAACTGCTCTCTGACTCCCTCACTGACCCCATGCCACATGCCCTGAATTCTGCCAGTGTGTGTTTGGTCCTTCGTTTGCTTGCTTCTCCTCCAAGAATGACCTCGAGGTGGCGATGTGTGACTGTGTGTTCACTAGCCTGAAAGTGACCATCCCAGGGCCTAACACACGCAGTCTGCTGCAGAAATTAGTGGCTGGGCTGGGGCCAGCTTTCTGCCCCCACTTGCCTTGAGGGCACACCTTGCTCCACCCAGCTGCCCCACCTTGGATCTCTGCTGCCTTCTGCCCAGAAGGCCCTCTGTCATCCCCTGGGATCATCCAGCTCTTCCCTTGAGGCTGCTTCGTCCTAGCCTTTGGTGGCTGCCGCTTCCCCTGCCTCTCCACTCTGACCACTGCACGGCGCAGCCTGGCTCATGACCTTGACTCACTCTCTTCATCTTGCTGAGCTCCAGTCTCCTCATCTGCAAAATGGGTTGTCGGCAGGATTCAAGGAAGATGCACATCGAACACCCAGTCAATGGCGGTAGTCTTATAAGGGCACCTCTCTTCGGCGGCCCTGCACGTGTCAGCCCTTTCCCTTCAGCCAGTCTGTGGCTGCCTTGAGGACAGAGATCCTGTCCTTCTCAACTTCTTATTCTACCCAACCCTCCCTGCCTGAGCCCATTTGTTGACTGACTTCCATCAGAAGAGCAATCAAGGTCTCCTCCCACCTGGATGTCCCATGAGCACAGCAGAGGCTCAGTCATTGCCAAGGAGACTCTCTGTGATCTTCCAGACACTGTCTGTGGGCTCAGTGCTGCCTGACGGAGAAGCAGGTCCTGGAGTGAGGAGGACAGAAGACCATCCTGGGTGGCTCCTGCTGGAGAAGGGCTGAAGGATGCTCTATGGCGAGGCCAGAGCCGCCAGCTCCGGGGCGCAGCCACTGGGAGTCCCCAGCCCTCGGGGAGGGGCCCAAGATCCCCAGATAGCACTGTATGGGGGCAGGGCTGAGAACTGGGGCTCACCTGGGAATGAGGGCACCAGGGGGAGGCAGACTGAGGGTGGAGAGAAGACCCCTTGGTTGGGTAGGTTGGGACATGGGTCGGCAGCTTCTCACGGGGTGTATCTCTGCCGCAGGTGAACGGGAAGGAGCTCTCTAAGCTGTCTCAGGAGCAAACCCTGGAGGCCCTGCGCTCCTCCAAGGAGCCTCTAGTGATCCAGGTGCTGAGGCGCAGCCCCCGCCTCCGGGGGGACAGCTCCTGCCACGACCTGCAGCTGGTGGACAGTGGCACTCAGACCGACGTCACCTTCGAGCATATCATGGCACTGGGCAAGCTGCGGCCTCCCACTCCGCCCATGGTCATCCTGGAGCCGTATGTCCTGTCTGAGCTGTGAGTCACCCTCAGGAGTGCTCCAGGCCCTCCCTCCAGTTAGGGCAAACCACAGGGGGCCACTGTCCCCATGCTAATTGGAGGCTACATTGCTGCAGATCTGGCATGGCAGGAGACCCCGATGGGCCTACCCTCTGCAGCAGGAAGCAAGCTCCTTGGTTTCCAGAACTTACTTGGGCACCCAGGGTCTCACAAATTTCCGGGTGTCCAGTTTCGGCTGCACGACAGCCAGTGCAGGGGCCAGGGCTGCTGGCATGCAAACTCTCATGGTGTCTGCCCCCAGGGCCAAGGGAGCCCCGCCCTGGGAAGGCTGACGCCCTCAGCAACTCCTCCTCTGTCCTTTCTCCTCCTCTGTCTCCCCATTGAGTTCTGCCTCATGAATATCACCTCTTGAGTCTTCTTGCATCCTTGTCTGCCCCATCCCTCTCCCTGCTCTGAACTTCTCCATCTTCTTTCTTTGGCCTGCTTGGAAGAAGAGCCTGTCACCTAAGCCTGGTAGTTCATGACTGATTCTGCTAGAGTAAACCCAGGCTGCAGGGCAGTGGTCCCGGGATCCCCTCCTCTGCAGGGAGGTAGGCCCCAGGGTCGCCAGCAGCCACTCATAGCCTTGGGGTAAGGAGGGGGCTGCCCGTGGAGGTAGAACGGGGCCTCTTTCGCACCGCAGCACTCCTCCAGGGCCTGGATAATCCTGGGGGTGCTGCATGAGTGGGGCCAGTGCTGGGCAGTTTGGAAAAGTCCGTCCCTGCGAACTGGCATGGTTAGAAAGGTCTGGGCTGGGGGACAGAGCAGGATGGGGCAGGGAGAGTTAGGCATGCTTGGGTCTTCATTGTGGACTCCCCCCACCCCCTCTCCCTTTCAAGAAGCATTCCTGATGTTTGCATGGATGCATGTAGCTCAGAAGGAGGGAGTTCGGAAGAGGCAGCTGGGCTGCCTCCTTGCAGGGGTGCACCCAGTGCAGGGCTCCATGCTGAGTGTGCTGGGACCAGCCAGCCCAGGAGCTGGGGCTAGGATGTGAGGGCAGTAGATGGCTGGCCTGACCTCCCCCTTCTCCTGGGCAGACCCCCCATCAGCCATGAGTATTATGACCCGGCGGAGTTCATGGAAGGCGGCCCGCAGGAGGCAGACCGTACAGACGAGCTGGAATATGAGGTGAGCTGGGCGGCCAGGCCAAGGGCAGGGTCTGCAGCCAGCCTCAGGAGCCAGCGCTGGGATGGCTGTTTACAGCCTAGCTCAGGCCTGGGTCCTGCTGTTCCCAGGCAACCAGGCCTCATGGACCTTCCCGGTGCATGGCTGCTTTCTCAGGCTCACGTGCCAAGTTGGGCTGAGTCGGGGAGGGCACGGGTGAGGTCCTGTGGTCAGTCTGTGTTGGTGAGTCTGTGTGCCATGCATGTCTGTGTCGTATATATCCCATGTGTCTTGTGTGTGTCCTGGGCGTTCTTGGTAGGGGAGACCACTGGACACATGTGCCATCTGGGCTGGTAAGAGACCCTCCGAGCTGGTGGCTGGGTCACGCTGCTGCTCTGCAGCCTGCATCCCTGCTCACATGTTTCTGGGGCTTTCTTCCCTGCTTCCCTCACCCCCCCTTGTGGCAGGAGGTGGAGCTGTATAAAACCAGCCACCTGGACAAGCTGGGCCTGATGGTCTGCTACCGCACCGATGAGGAGGAGGACCTGGGCATCTACGTGGGGGAGGTACGAAGGCGGGGGCGGGGCTGGGGCCAGGAGGCAGTGGAGCCCCCTGCCACCCACCTGTGTGCTAGCACGTTGACACTGGCCTTTGACAGTACCGTTCTGTCCAATGCCAGTGAGGCGGCAGGTACTGAGGCAGGGTGTGGCACATGCCAAGTGCCCACTGCATCCTGTCCACACTGCCCTTAAGGACCTAGCTGCCAGGGATAGGGCCTGCGTAGCATCACAGGGAGGTTGCCGGTCAGTGAGGCCAGAGCAGCCAGTGGTTGTGGTGTGTGTCCAGCCCAGGCAGTCCTCTCCAGGAGCCCTGTGCACAGGCTTTGTTTTCCCTTCCATGTCCTGCAGCCAGCCCTCCTGGTACTCACCTGTCTGTGGCAGATGTCTGTGAGTCCCTATGAGGGAGGACAACACCCCCTCTAGCAGTATCGTAATTGAGTTCCTCTTCGCATGACTATCCTACTGCCTGTCAACCCCCAGGGCTGCCTTTTTTGAGTATGGCACAGTATCCAGCTTCCTGCATGGGCCCGGCCTCTAACATGACTGCTTTAAGGACCTCCTCAGACACAAAAGAACAGGCTTCTATACACAGTGTGTGCACGTGCCAGCTGGGGGTGTGGGCACAGGGGTGGTGGGCAGGGGCTGGGGAGCGTTTGGTTGGCAAGTTGGCCACTTCTGCCAGGTCCACTGTTCCAGCCCTTGCTGCTCTGAGCTAAAGGGGGAACAAGCAGGAAGGAGCTTTCTGTTGGCTTTGGGGGCTCCAAGGTGAGGCTGCCCCTTCGTACTAAAAGGCCAACTTAGTGGTGAGTGCCAAATCCCCTTGATAACGGTGCCTTGCAGGTGAATCCCAACAGCATTGCAGCCAAAGATGGCCGGATCCGCGAGGGAGACCGCATCATCCAGGTGAGCAGGGTGGACAGGCCTGACCTGAACCCCTGCTGAGCTTGACTTCCCCACCACCTCTCCTTAGCTGATGCCAGCTCTTTCCTGAGAGCGTAGCCTAATGCCAGGCAGCATGCTGTGCGTGAAAGCGGGGCTGGGTCTCCTTTCCTGCACAACTGCTCTGGGTGGCTCCTGTGTGCCCATGGGATCTGATGGCATTGAGGGTCTGCACTGCTCTGGCACCTTGCCACTTCTCCCTCTGTACCCCACACCTGAGCATATCTCCCATTCCACACTGTCTTCTGAGCACATGTGCCTTTTTTTTTTAAGTTATGATCGCTATACACTGTTATGAAGGTTTCACATGAAGAAACAATATGGTTACTACATTTACCCATATTATCAAGTCCCCACCCACACCCCAATGCAGTCACTGTCCATCAGGGCAGCAAGTTGAGCACATGTGTTTTTGCATGAGCCAGGCTGTCCTCTCCCCCAACACCTTCTACTTATCTCCGTCATGCCAGAGCTCAAGAGCCTGTCCTGCCCCAAGGGTTGGGCCTCCGTGCAAGGGGAATCCCTGCGGCTCAAGCAGGGCCTGCCCCGTGGCCAGCTCTGGTGTCCTTGTTGATTGTCACCTGGCTTGCCATAGATAAATGGCGTGGACGTCCAGAACCGGGCAGAGGCGGTGGCCGTCCTGAGCCAGGAGGAGAACACCAACATCTCCCTGTTGGTGGCCCGGCCCGAGAGCCAGGTGCGTGTGCCCAGGAGGCCATCCTGAGTGCCCTGTCATTGGGTCTTCTCTCTCTTGGAAGCTGCTGATTGTGACAAGGTCACAGACATACCTGGCACTGATAAAGTGGGTGGTGTCCCCTTCTGGCACTGGTGGCTAAGTGGGCTGGGACCACCCCCTTTCTTGGGGTATTCAGCTGCATTGAGACCAGGAGGGCTGGGTATGGGACCAGGAGGCAACTGGACGGATGTCTGGGGAGGTCCTTAAAGCACTGGGGACAGCACAGGTCTGTCTCTGCAGCTGGCAAAGCGGTGGAAGGACAGTGACCGGGATGACTTCCTGGATGACTTCGGCTCTGAGAATGAGGGGGACCCACATGCACGGAAACCAAAATCCCCCCCTGCCCAGCAGGTGAGGAAGGAAGCAGGGTGGGTGATGGGAGGACAAGGAGGATGGGGCTGGAGGTGTGTGGGAAATGGATCAGGACCAAAAGCCCTTCCAGTCCTGATCGTCTGGTGGCATCCCTGCCCCTGGCACCCAGACTGAGCGGGGCTCATCTCTCTGCCCCAGCTTGGAAACGAAGAGGAGAAAGGGGCCCCTAATGATGGCCCAGGCCTGAGCAACAGCCAGGAGTTGGACAGTGGGGTGGGCCGCACTGATGAGAGCACCCGCAACGAGGAGAGCTCCGAGCATGACCTGCTAGGGGATGAGCCTCCGAGCACTACCAACACGCCTGGGACCCTGCGCAAGTTTGGCCTTGTGGGAGAAGCCCTGCAGAGCCGGGACTTCCACTTCAGTATGGACTCTCTGCTGGCTGAGGGGGCAGGGCTGGGGGGTGGTGACGTCCCAGGTCTCACCGATGAGGAGTACGAGCGCTACCGGGAGCTGCTGGAGATCAAGTGCCACCTGGAGAATGGCAACCAGCTGGGCCTCCTCTTTGCCCGGGCCTCCAGCAGCAATAGTGCCCTGGACGTCAACCGCAACGAGAGCCTGGGCCATGAGATGGCCATGCTGGAGGAGGAGCTGCGGCACCTGGAGTTCAAGTGCCGTAACATCCTGCGAGCACAGAAGATGCAGCAGCTGCGGGAGCGCTGCATGAAGGCCTGGCTTTTGGAGGAGGAGAGTCTCTACGACCTGGGGGCTGGCGAGCCCAAGAAGCATGAGCTGTCCGACATCTCCGAGCTGCCTGAGAAGTCAGACAAGGACAGCACCAGCGCCTACAACACGGGGGAGAGCTGCCGCAGCACCCCACTGATTGCGGAGCCCCTGCCGGAGAGCCCCCTGGGGCGGGCTGCTGTTGGCAACTCCAACTTGAACCGGACCCCCTCTGGCCCCCCACTCACCACCCACCCCAAGGCAGCTCCCCTGCAGGGGAGCCCCGCTAAGTTCCGATCCCTTTCCCGGGATCCCGAGGTGGGCCGGAGACAGCACTCAGAGGAGCGTGTCCGCCGAAGCCCCAAGACTGGGGTGACCCTGGAGCACATGGGCCCTGAAGGCAGCCCTTACCTTTCTCGGCGCCACCGCGGCCAGGGCCAGGAGAGCGAGCGCTACCACAGCTGCATGCAGCTGACACCCCCACGCAGCCTGGAGGAGCTAGGCCACGGCCCCTTGAGTTTGGCCAGCGGCCCTCGTGGCGGTGGAGTGGCTCCAGCCCCTGAAACACCCCGCATGGAGTGGAAGGTCAAGGTGCGCAGCGACGGGACGCGCTATGTGGCCAAGCGGCCAGTGCGTGATCGCCTCCTAAAAGCCCGAGCTCTGAAGATCCGGGAGGAGCGCAGCGGCATGACCACCGATGACGATGCAGTGAGTGAGATGAAGATGGGTCGCTACTGGAGCAAGGAGGAGCGGAAGCAGCACCTAATTCGGGCTCGGGAGCAGCGGAAGCGGCGCGAGTTCATGATGCAGAGCCGGCTGGAGTGCCTGAGGGAGCAGCAGAATGGTGACAGCAAGGCTGAGCTCAACATCATCGCCTTGAGCCATCGCAAAACCATGAAGAAGCGGAACAAGAAGATCCTGGACAACTGGATTACCATCCAGGAGATGCTGGCCCACGGCACACGCTCGGCTGACGGCAAGCGGGTCTACAATCCGCTGCTCTCCGTCACCACCGTCTGAGTCTGGCTGTGCTCCAGGGTGGGCCCTCTGCCTGGCCCAGGTCCGGTGAGCCCCCCAGGGCCCTGTGCCCTACTCTCCCTTAGAATCTAGTGTGTTTGTGTGTGCACATGGGTGTGCGAACACCTCTTTGTGCATGTGCCTGGGACTTTGTTACCAGAGAGAAGGGACACTTCTCTCCATCAGCTCCTTCCTTCTCCCCAAGTACAGTGACAGGTCGACAGCTGGCATTTGGGACAGACCTGTAACAGGGAACCCTTCCCCCATGTGCGCACATAAACACGCACACTCCTCTAGAGCTTGCTCAGTGTAGATACTTGGGGACGGGGAAGTTGAGCTGAGGGGACTGTCCTAAGCACAGGAGAATGTCTGGCTTTGGTGCTGAGTGCAGTCTCTTCCCCTGCTGGGAGCCTTGGTTACTTGCAGACAAAGGCAATCCTGATTTTTGTGGTGTTTCTCCCTTTCTGTGCTTGCCAGTTGTTGTTTTTCTGTTTCGCGGACCTGCTCTGGGAGCTGGTGGCTCCTTCAGGCAGCCTGACGAGGGCGGAATCCCCGAGTGGTAGCTGGGAAAGAGGCGGGTGGGGGGAAGGAGGAGAGGGAGGGCTTGGGGGAGGGAAGGGGGGAAGAAGGGGACAAGGGGAAGCAGCTTTTCTGGTGGACTCCACTGCTGTGGCTTGCCAGGCTCCTTCTGGGGGCCTCCAACCTTCCCAGTGACTGAGGGAGAGCCCGTGGGGACTGAGGGTTAATGTCCATCTGAGAAGGAGGAACAGAGCCTGGGGTCATGCCTGGCACCACCTGGAGGGTAGCTTCTCTTCTGAGGGACCTGAGGGGCGTGCTTAGATGGTGAGGGGTCCAGAAGCCAAGCTCCATGAGCAGCAGCTGTAGAAGACCTTGGTGACAAGACCCACGTGGAGCTGAGGGAGCAGCCTAGACCCGACTGAGAGGTGGGCCCAGCCAGTCGGGCTGACCCGGGAAAAGGTGTTCTGCAGCACCCCACTTGGCAGCCCTCAGGACCTGGTGCATTGAGTGAGAGCTGGCCTCAGGGCTCCATCTCAGATCGGGGGCAGGTGGGCTGCCTGTCCCTGCCCCCCACTGGCCTTGACAAAATAAAATAAGCTGCCTTTCTAAGGTGCCCCCTGGCCTCCCTGTGTTTATTCTTGCTGTGCCGCAGGGGAGGTGTTGGTGGGGCGGGGTGGGCTAGTCGGGGGAAAGCTGTGCCTCGGCCCTCCCTCACTATGTCACTGGGAGACAGCGGTGTCTGGTGAGCTCGGCATTCTGTTCTCGAGGAGGCATGGAAGTCACCCGATCATTTCAGAGGTGTGACGCCACAGGAGTGGTGGTGCAGGAAGGCTGACAGAGACCTGGCGCAGGACTGGTGGTGGGGCCTGCCCCTGGCATGTGGATGAGGCCAACACCCCTGCTCCGGTGGCACGTGAGAGCACGTGAGAGGAGTGGGTCCCCCCCACACCCCATCCCCAACTCCCCAGGGACACCATGGGCGCTGTGTGTGTCTATCTGTGTGTGGTCCCTAGTGTGGTGCAGCCGGGAAGTTGCTCAGTGAAGTGGGTAAGGATGCATTAAAATTCTCTGGGAACAGCAATGCAGACCTCTTGTTAATTCCATTTATTTGTTGAGCAGGCGTGAGCGTGTGTTCCCAGAAGCTGAGTGCCTTGCCTGGAAGGCTGAGCCACAAGGGCTTGGGCTGAATCTGTCTAGCTGCTGTCAGAGCAGCTGGGAGGGAAGACCCAGGAGTCTGTCACAGGCTAGGCCTTCAGGAGCACCAGTGAGGGGGAAGGGAGGAAAGGGCTTGGTGGTGAAATGGGCCGGAGGGGTGGGACTGAGGCCTCAAGCTGAGGGCTGGGCACATTGACTCTTGCCACCAGTCCCCCATTCCTCAACAGAGGACAGTCAAGTACCATATAGGCCTCAGTGGAGGATGGGGGCTCCAAGGGCCTGGCCCCTGCTGCAGAAAACTGCCTGGGGTGGGAGACAGGCCAAACTGCTCCCTAGGCATCCCTCTCCACTGGGGGGCTACTCTGATGGCTTTAGAGGCGCTCCATTCTTGCTCCAGGGAGGAGTGGTGCTGGAGATGGTGTTCTGGGATGTGGGCCATGTGGGCCAGGCAGGACCTGGCACCTGAGTCCCTTGGCCACGTGAAAGCCAGGCTGGGGCTTGGCTCTCACTGGCTTTGTGGGGGACCTGCCTCTGAGCTCCTTAGCAATGAGGGGAAACAGCACTGGAGTCCAGAAACTGGCAAGGGGCAGCCCTCACCTGGCTTGGTCCTCTCAGCCCCAACTTGCCTGCTATATCCCTGCTGCTATATCCCTGCTTTTGGGGGTGAGGACCCAGCTATTTGCTGGAGCCTCCCCATTCCTGCCAGTTGTCGGTATCCCAACCCACTTCCTGGGGGCTGAGGGTGGGGGAGCAGGGAGAGCTGATATCCCCTAGTGTGGAGGAGGTCCCCAGGCAGTCTTAGGTCACAAGCCACCCTCACCCACCACTGCAGAGGGCAGGGGGTGGGGCCAGAGTACCGAGGAGCCCCTGCCCTTCCAGGTAGGGTGCAGGCCTCCCCTCTCCTTTGAGAAGAGCCACTCTGGAGGCTTGTTTTCAGCCTGGTTTTCTTTTTGGTGACAGTCAGGGACACAGCACTCAGGTGCCAGCTCTGCCAGCTGGTCCCAATGACCCCGGCACCCTGGAGAAGGCAGCCACCCAACACAGCTGAGCATACCTACTTAGACCACACAGCTGGGACGGGCTCCCCTGGGACTTGCACCCAGCTCCTTTAGACCCCAGGTCCTGCACTGCCTCCTTTCAGCCACTGGCGGCACTAGGGAAACTGGGCTGCTGGGAGGGTCGCAGGTGGACCTGGACCCTGGAGCACGCACAGGCCATGTCCTGAGGGCACGACGTGCTCAGGGGAGAAGGGTCACGAGGAGGGGAGGGTGAGGTCGGCTCCTCAGAGGCATGGGGGTCTGGGCCATCTCTTCTCCATGCCTTCCGTGTGTCCTAGCTGGTAAAGTGGAGGGGACAGGGTCTAGGGCTTCGGATAACCCACCTCCCTGCAGCCACCAGATGTACCAGCTTCACCTGTACCAGCAAGACAGGCTCTCACAGTGCCCCACGGAAAGGCAAGGAAAGGGCTTCAGCGCCTACAGCCCCACACGCTATCGACTGCTGGGTTTCCGGAAAGCTGGGAAGGGCCCCCTACCCCCTTCTCAGGGCAGTAGCTTTCCCAATGGCAGGTGGTCAGATGGCCCTTCCCTAGGTGTGCCACACGAAGACCCAGGCCTGGCAGGCCATGTTGACACAGCCACACCTGAGGGTTGGGTGAGGGCCGGAGAGGACGGGGCAGTCCTCCATGTCAGAAGATGGGTGTTGGGCAAAGGGTATCTTCCCCCACACCCTAACCCCAAACCATGCAGGCCCTAGGAGGAACGGAAGGGGGCCACTGGGCACTGGGAGAAACAGGCAGGGAAGGTGTAATTGGGGACTAAGGAAGGAGAGCCCAAGACGACAGCAGGTGAAGCACACACGAGATGGAAGGGAGGGGGAGGCGTGCCGGCCACATCCCCCGCAGCACCTGCACTGCCCAGGTATACAAGGGGGTGCTGGCTGCCCAGCTCTGCCCATGTGTGGAAGGCACAGCCGTGCATGCAAGGAACCCGTGTGTTGCCAATGCTGACAGCCAGTGACCATTTATTCAAAGAAGCAAGGGGGAGACTGGGGCTGCCACCCTCAGGCCTGGATGTGGCTCTTGGCACTGAAGGCCAGATAGTAGGTCACTAGGCCGATGACTGCAGCCAGCACCTCAGTGGACACCCAGGGACCGTTCCAAGTGCCCTGCAAAAAAGGAAACCAAAGCCAGCTCGGGAGGAATGGGCGAGGGGGGCCAGCTAGCCACAGTTGCCCTCCTGGGGCACAAAGACACAGTGTCCCACCAAAAAGAGCTGAGACTTGCTGTGTACCCCATTTCCCCTGAGCCCCGGCCAGTCTCTTACGCCCACTCACCCGATGATCCACACTGACTGTAAACAGTGGTGGGATGATGGAAACGTCCTCATTATTTCTCTGAGCCTGCAAGGGAGGAGGGGGGGTCGGGGTGCACCAGGTGGGGTGGGGAGGGATAGGAGAGGCAGGAACATTGGCCCCAATCACAGAAGAGGAGAGAAAAATGGATGAGAAACTTGGAAGGTGCTGGGATAGGGGGGATGGGTGGACAGGAAGGTGCCCACCCACCATCCTGTTCTGTGTAAGGCCCCTAGTGGCCTGGAGCTCCAGGGGTCAGGGACCACAGGGTGGAGATGGCTGTGGAAGTGAGGTGTGCCTTCCCTTCTGCAGGACTGGGCAGGGCTCCCGGGGAGTGATACGCACCTTCCTCAGGAGGCTGTAGGATTCCTCGTCAAAGAATCTGACCTCATAGGTGCCTGCGTGGGCGCTCTTGTGATCGAGGCTCCAAGATACCTGCGTGGTGTTCAGCAGGGAGCAGGCACAACGGATGCCTCAGGCTCCCCCAGCCAGCACTGACACGGCGCCACTAACCGTGACCTGAGTCAGAGCCCCAACCTGGCTCGATGGGGCCACCCTTAGTCACATCTGTGAGTAGGTGGCCCCCACCAGAAATGACAACTGTGGCACGTCTTACCTGGTAACGCCCCACATCCTGGCCCCGGGTAACAGGAAATTGTTTTCCACTGACATCAGCATAAAGAGCCATGTTCTGGGGGGCGGATAAAGGGAGAATCATCTTCCCTTTGGCCGGTGGCAGAGGTTCCACTATGCTGCCCATAGCAGCACCTGTGGCCTATGGGCAGCGAAGCCAGGCACAGCTGGGCACTGCAGTGTCTGCCAGGGAGTGCCATGGGAGAATCACGGAGGTAAGTCTGCCACAACCCAGAGTTGTGCCAGGAAGCTGACATCCACTAATGCTCTCACTGCCCCTCTACGTCTTCCCTATGGGGAGGACACACGGCCCCCCAACCCACAGCAAGCCTGTTAACAGAGCACGGTGACCGAAGTGTCCTTGTTATTTATCTGAGCCTGGAAGGGGGTGCTGAGGTCAGGGGTGTGCCCAACGAGCCACCCAAGGAATGCTGTACCCGAAAAGGTCCAACTTCTTTCTCTAGGCCTTTTGGGTTGCAGGTTAAAGTCAGGGGCTGAGGCTAGAGCTGCTCAGTCTTGGACTTAATGAAACACCCAAGTGGA